TGTGTATTGTGTAGTGTGTGCATGTATTGTGTAGAACTGTATCGTGTGTATGTATTGTGTCGTGTCTACATTGTGTCGTGTGTGTATATGTATTGTGTATGTGTGGTGTGTATGTATTGTGTGTATGTATTGTGCTGTGTGTATGTATTGTGTAGTGTGTATGTATTTTGTGGTGTGTATGTATGGTGTATATATTGTGTCGTGTGTATGTATTGTGTAGTGTGTATGTATTGTGTCGTGTGTATGTATTGTGTGGTGTGTATGTATTGTGTGGTGTGTATGTATTGTGTCGTGTGTATGTATTGTGTGGTGTGTATGTGTGGTGTGTATGTATTGTGTCGTGTGTATGTGTGGTGTGTATGTATTGTGTTGTGTATGTATTGTGTCGTGTGTATGTTTTGTGTATGTATTGTGTGGTGTGTATGCATTGTGTGGTGTGTATATATTGTGTCGTGTGTATGTGTGGTGTGTATGTATTGTGTCGTGTGTATGTGTGGTGTGTATGCATTGTGTGGTGTGTATATATTGTGTCGTGTGTATGTTTTGTGTATGTATTGTGTCGTGTGTATTTATTGTGTCGTGTATGTTTTGTGTGTATGTATTGTGTGTATGTTTTGTGTAGTGTGTATGTATTGTGTGTTGTGTGTGTATTGTGTCGTGTGTATGTATTGTGTGTTGTGTATGTATTGTGTCGCGTGTATGCATTGTGTATGTATTGTGTCGTGTGTATGTTTGTGTATGTATTGTGTAGTGTATATGTATTGTGTGGTATGTATGTATTGTGTCGTGTGTATGTATTGTGTCGTGTGTATGTATTGTATGTATTGTGTGTTGTGTATATATTGTGTGATATGTATGTATTGTGTAGTGTGTATGTATTGCGTGTATGTATTGTGTCGTGTGTATCTATTGTGTGGTGTGTATGTATTGTGTGTTGTGTATGTATTGTGTGTATGTATTGTGTCGTGTGTATCTATTGTGTCGTGTGTATGTATTGTGTGTTGTGTATGTATTGTGTGTATGTTTTGTGTGTATGTATTGTGTAGTGTGTATGTATTGTATGTTGTGTATGTATTGTGTCGTGTGTATGTTTTGTGTATGTATTGTGTGGTGTGTATGGTGTCATGTGTTGTGTATGTATTGTGTGTATGTATTGTGTATGTATTGTGTCGTGTGTATGTGTTGTGTATATATTGTGGGATATGTATTATTGTGTAGTGTGTATGTATTGTGTGTATGTATTGTGTCGTGTGTATGTATTGTGTCGTGTGTATGTTTTGTGTATGTATTGTGTCGTGTGTATGTTTTGTGTATTGTGTCGTGTGTATGTTTTGTGTATGTATTGTGTGTATGTTTTGTGTATGTATTGTGTGTATGTATTGTGTGATATATATGGTGTCGTGTGTGCTGCGCTATCCGCGCATCACCACGCAAGGCTGCGCTCGCTGCTGTGTCCGTGGGTCGTGATCTGATGATGAATGACGGAAGCAGATAAATTACAAACGACAAATTACAAAAGGAATGCACACACGGAACGCTGCTTTATACACCACTATGCATAACGGTGCGTATGCTGCGTGTATATCACGAATGTTTAAAAAAAAAAACATGCACGTGAGATCAGTGCAAGCGTTGCACATGGCATTGCATTATTATTATATTTACACATCAAGGGCACAACTGGCAGAAGGTAATTTATCAACGGGCGTTTTACCTGGTTATGTTACACAAGCGTATGCAAGAATTAAAATCCGTGTGGAATATTGCACGCGATTGTATGCGGCGTTGTCTCTGTGTACAGAGCGTCCAGGGGTATCCGTCTCTATCTTTAATAAATATAGCAGAGTTGCCTACAGCTTCTGAGAAGACAAAACGAATGTTGACGAAAACAGCGGTGACGTCAGGCCGTAACTCGTGCAATTTAAATTCCCACGATTTGGGTTGGTGGGTGGCCTCGCTCACTCGTGTGTATTTTAATGATGGAATAACGTGTTTTTAATCAGAAGTCGCTAATGACACTAATTTATTCATAATGTCCACCAGCTACGCTCAGAGAGCACAGTGAGATTTGAACGGCCCCGTGTGGTGGCGGTGCGCGCGCCTGTGAGGCAGCCTCGCGGAGGTTCGGATTGGTGGATCACCCGAGGATGGGTAGTGCTGAATCCCCGGTTCAAATAAGATCCCATGACGATGATTATTATGTTGATGCGCTTGAGAAAATCCTGCTGAACAATGTGAATAATCTTGTTTTAATGGGGGGGACTACACATTGAGAGAGAGGAGGGGGGGGGGGGGGTGGCGCGTCGCCCAATCTAGTAAATGTTAAATTTTAAATGTATGTGAAACGCTAAACATAATTACAGTATATGAATTAGTTGGTATGTGTATTAGTGATGGGTGTAGGGCTAATTTCCCCTCTAGCATACTTGGGGTTTCTCCGGGAGCGACGATTTCCTCCACACGGAAATGTTTAAGCTACTGAAGAAAGAAAGAAAAAAAACTGGCCCATGCAGTATACCGATTTTGACTCTTTCTTGAAAACAGTGTTTATGAGTTAGTGAGCCGCTTATATTGAATTGTATTGCTGCATTGGTTAGCACACTTCTCTGACCTCGGCTACCCCCGAGTTCAATTGTAAGCCTTGGCTAACATCAATGAAGAGACATCTGAAAATATCTTAAGCATTCCGTATTCACCTACTAGCACTGATTAGCGTGGTAAAACCACTTATATGACCAACATCACAGGGAGGCCTTCAGCATTGAATTGCTAACGGTTTAAACAGTTATGTTGTGCTAATTACATTGTTAACACAGGTGCTAATTAACGTCCCTGTCATTGTTATGTAAAAACTCACTGTCCTCGCGTTCCAAGAGAATGTAGGGTGGTGCTCATCAGGGTTTCTAGTCTTGGATCAAACGTAAAAATTCCACATTTGTATGGCGAGAGTCAGTCTATCCATATAGCATTGTGGTAGTAATGTTTCAGAGCCCCGTAGATATGAGATGTGCTCAGCTTCTTTTAATTTCCGAGCTTCATTTGATATACGAACTGTTTTTAATAGTTAAAATGCGAAATTAGCACAATTACGCCTTGGACTTCGCAGCCTAGAGGGGGGTATGAGAGCTAAAACTGAATGCACGATAGAAGGGGGAAAAAGCAGATAACATATCGTTTCTCATTCTGTTTGGCGTTTACCATTCATTTAAAGTTTGTTTAACATTACCTCTGTTCCCTCCACCTCCGTTATTTTTGCGTGCCCCCCATTAACCCAAGGTCATACAACAGAACACTATTTGGTAGTGTGAATGCCATTGCTTTTTTTGCAGTGCGGTGTTGATGTGGTACGTGTAGTATTGGTCCCTGTAGGGGGCAATACAGCTAATAGGGTTTTGGCAATTTCAAAAGGGCTGGCTGTACGAAGTGTAACATGTTTTCCTCTCATGTGTGGGATTTCTCCCGCAACTGCTGTCACAACAAATACATCAAAATCATGTTAAACATGCTTAAGTAGAACCTTCATACCACAGTCTTTAAAACTCACCAAGACTTTCATTGGTAAACACCCTATTTCAACGATATGTACATGCACAACCCCTTTTGTCAATCCATTGCTGGATTGAGGGCTTCGCCACGGTCCGACAGATTATTTGATCATTCTTCACCACGCTGATCAGTGTGGATTTTCAGCGCACTGCCCTCAGCTGCCCATCACGTTGAAACCGCGGCCCTATGTCAACCTGTTTGTACGTGGTGGTCGGCCACCCAAGTACTATCCAGGCTTAACCCTGCTTTAAATAATACCTCGATATGAACACTGGTGAGATCGTTTTAGACATTCGTGCATTTAGTGCAACAGTGAACTGATAATAACCATTCCGTTGGTTCTTCCCAAATGTGTCGTGCCCTGGGGTTTTTCAAATTAACATCTTGAGCTTAAACGTACCTCGCCCGACGGATTAGTTTCATTAAATGCAAATCGGTTTGATGACCTCCAAGAGACGATGCTAAGTGGTTACAAAGATAAAGATCCCCCGTATAGTCATACGGATTGTTGGAGCAACTGCTGTTATCCACCGCCTTCGAAAGTGGGAACGGCTCTGGCGAGGTTGGTGTGGGCCAGCGCTCACGCCCCGTCCGCCTTTGTCGCCCCACCCAGTGCAAATGTCTAAAACACCTCACCAGGATCTATTTTAAGACTGAGTCAACCTCGGGGAGGTTTAGGTCTGGTTTAGCACACACGCCGGGAGATCTTTTTATTTTGCACTTGAAATGCGGCGTCGGTGCGTTTGCACAAGCGTGTGTCTACGAAGGCTTTGCACGCGTGTAAAAGATGTGTATCTTTAATCTTTCGTAAGCTCTGGTGCCCAGTCAGCCTAGATGAAGTGTTGTGATAAAAAAAAACTTATTGGGCTAGCTGTGCATGTTCATCTGTGTACAATGTGCGTGTGTGTGAATCCTACAGTCGTGTATATATCTCAACAACCACAATACAACCGCTAAATGTAATTGCTTGTGTCAAAACAAGGATGTGTGAGCTATACAAAATTATACAGAAGCTATGTCTGTACCCTGTATTAGTTGGTAAGCAGTATACACATTGCACGCCTGAACGTAAGCAAGATATGTTCAGCCACGCGGGCCAATTATGGCCCAAAAAACGACCCACGTTGAATGGGCCAGTCATTTTTCTGGCCACGGATAACTCAACACTCTCCAAAACGTTGGCCCAAAATTGGTCTATGCTGCGTCGGGGTTCGTGTAGCAAGGCTTGGGAATTTGTGGCGGTAATGTTCCTAGGTCAGATCGCTGTTGACCAATGTTACATGGTGCAGTTGTAAGACCAGTTACTGCTGGGCCAACGTTAAACCCAGCATCAGCATGTGTATCTGAGCTATATGTTTCCCTGTGTGTGTATGTGTGTGTGTGCTTGTGTGTGCATGTGTGTTATGAGCTTCGGGCGTGGTGCTGGACACTCACCCCCTCGTGTGCCGTGCCGGCATAGGCGCTCACTAACAGCACTTGCCCCAACAGTCCGTTAAGGCTATGCCGGGGGATCTTTGTCTTTGTGTAAGGATTTGTGCAGTCGCACGGCTTGCAGAACGATGCCATCAAAAATACACGACAGTGCACACACATACCCCACGAATACCATTTCAGCAATGCATAGTTGAGTTTTTCGCCAAGGGTAGATGAAATGTGCTGTGTGCGATATGTATATGAAGTACTGTACGGTAAATGCAAAACGTATGATATGCGCTTTCTATATGCAATCAATGTTGAAAGTGATTACATCATCGCGAGGCAGACAGTTAAAGCGGCAGTCGCTGAAGAGCAACACAGGACTGCAGTGAGTAAAGTGTACGCACAAGGTATAAATATGCATTGCAGAAAACATGTTTCGTGAATGATATGTTGGACACCTTAACGGGATAATTTATTGCCAAGCTTGCTTTGTTTTGACTATGATCAGCGGTTAAAACGGGATAACCAGGTCACGACGTATAAAGGCGTGCACATATATAGTTTCACGGTAAACAAATGTCGTGTTGCGTACATTTATGCCTGCGTCCTCTCGACGGTATAACGATTATTTAAATTGTCTATCTTTGGCGAAGTGGGTTACGTCAAGTATGTTGTAAACAAAGAAAGGCACGATGCAATCAGTGCAGTGCGTAATCGCCCCCTTGTACTCCCGTCCACAATCGTGTTCCATAATGCAAAGCAGTTCACCGTTCCTGCTGCAGATGCCGTCGCTGATGCACGTATGTGTGCCCTCTGCAGGCCACGTTAACGTATCCCATTATCCGTGCCCAATCAATCATGACCCTTATTCATAATAAAGCAGGTAAACTGCCAAATGGCACACAAGGCGCCTTTAATTTGTCCAGGTTTTATATACTTTAACGCTATTCCACGCACATTCCTTGCAAAAAAAAAGAAGCGGGTCGTTATTAACGGGCCTTTCGGGTTGGTCGAATGCAATTAAAAGCCAAAATGCACTATTAGGGAGACTGGAAGCTATTTTTGATCGGATTTAATTATTTTTGTTCACAAATTGCGGCGAATTTGAATGCACGCGACTCAATTTGACGTTTTGTAAAAAGTGGAAGTCGATCAGTGAATTGAGCAAGTCAGTCATTTGCGCCAGGTGAAAGTCTGCCTAGGACACGTGTGTTGTTGTCCAGACGGGACATTTTTGTTTCCACCGAGTCCCGAGGCTTGTGCTCGGGAAGATCCTGTGCTTTCTTTGGGCGAATTATTAACTGAGGTTTTTTTTTTATGTGCCGAAGAAAACCTACTCCAACGGAGAAGGCTCGAACCAACCCTCCGTAAATAGACTATCGACAGCCTTACTTGTCATACTGCTCCCTGCAATCCTTTGATAACACATGCAGAAATGTGTCCGCATAGGGAAACATAAAATAGATGAGTGCAAACTGTTTGAGAGTTACATGTCGGGGGTTTTGCAACGTCAAACAATTAAAGGACTGTGACTGCCTTTGGGCGTGCGGTTGTGATGGCTTGTGATGGCTTTGTGTGGTGCGTGTTGGATGGCCGTGTGTGCAATGGCTATGTGTGGTCGCTTTGTGGCTGCGTGTGCGATGGCTGTCTGGCTGCGTGACGACTGTGTTTGCTGTGTGTCTGCTGTGTGTGATGGCTGTGCGTGTTCTGAATCGCGCGGCATGTTCGCGAACTCTCGTGTTGCATATTTTGCGTCGACGAACGTTAATGACACGTTTGCAGGTTAATTTCGCGGTTAATCCACACGGCCCCTGCACACGTAAACATGGGGACCGACATATTCACGTAACGTATAGCGTTGCGTACAGGGTGTGCCGATTTACGGATGGCAAAACGGCAACAACACTTGAATGCACGGCACTCAAGTGCGACTTAATTGACGTTCATCGCTTCTGAGCGTGGCTGCCATTTACACATTCTTACGTGTTGTGCTTGCGTTATATAACTCTTTGTTGCACAGAGTGTGGTATGCATAATATTGTCACTTTTTTTGGTATGCTATACGCCAGCGCCAACACGCACTGGCCGGCAATAATAAAGTAGGTTCTGTCATCCCCCTTGATCAACACCGTGGATTTAAAACCGTATACAGCAATGACGCGGTGGCGAGATGTTAACTTCCTCGCCTGGTGCGCAGGACGTCGTGGGTTTTGATCCCGACCCTGACGTCTGCAGTATATTTTGGCGTTTGCGTGTTCTCTCTGGATTTTTCTCCGGGTCCTCCAGTTTTCCCTCACGCATTTATAATCAACATGCATTTAGAATGTTTGGCTGCTATAAATGTCCGCGTGCTAAGCCACTCCGTTGAGCTATCATTTGTGAAATCTAGATTTGAAGTTTTCGTGACTGCAGGGATCCATACTCTTTGGTTCTTTCGGTAGAGTCACGTAGGTATCATTTGTGGCCAGGTAACTTCTGAAAAGAGCCGTATAGCTCAGTGGGCCTTACCTGGTCAAATACAACGTTTAGTTTAGACTTCAATTTAACAAAAAATTACAGTCCTTAGTCAATTCATTTTCTGGACGAAGGCCATACTTCACTACGGTTGGGGAAGGGAGGACTATGGTGGCGTGAGTACCCAAAAGTTGTTCAGATATCAGTCGCCACTGATCCTAGTTATGGCCGGGAATAGAAAATGTTTGGAGTTCCACCAACTTCGTGTTTGTACACAGTGCTCGTACGTAAACGTTGTTCATGTTAGCTTCACACTCGTATTACTTGGTTCGCTGATGGGGTTCGTGAATAATGAAATATGTATCACGAAGATTAAAGTAGTACTGTGTAGCTTTAGACTGACCCCGTGTCTTATAAACCGTGGCCCAATTTCTAACATTTTGGTTTTAGAATATTTACGGTTACTCGACCACAGTATATTTCAACGAAACTTTTTTTTCTAACCCATCTAAAACGTGACAATTGACATCAGTCAGTGATAATCGTGATGTAATACCAATATGTATGTGATAAAAATCGGCGTGCCAGTTCTTTCGTGATCAATTATTGTCGGAGTGATTCGTCCCCGCTGCAAAGCAACTTTCACTCACTCGTCTTGTGCGTGATTTGTGAATGTTGTTGGCCTGTTGAACGTGACCGTACAAGATATACATGACGTCAAGTGTTATTGTGTAAGCTTTGTCGGCACCGAGGGCGCTGGAGGACATACACATGCTGTTGAGTAGTGACAGTGTGGGTGCCGTGTGTCCGAGCCTCTTTAAGCGTGGCCAGCAGACCAGTGTGTATGGTGAGGCTGTGACAGTGTGTGTGCGTCTAGGCTAGGGTGTGTGTGGTCTGTGTGTGTGTGACGATTTTCTGAATCGGTCCTGGCTGTCCCCTGGGTAGACTCAGCCTAAAATGTAGTGCCCGGTGCGGTGCGTAAAAACATCGCCACTGGGGGAGACAAAGGCGGCCGGGCGTAGTGCTGGCCACCCACCCCCCCCTCGTGTGCCGTGTCGGCCTTCATAGGTGCCACTCGCTAACAGCACTTGGCCCAACAGTCTGTTAATGCTATACGGGGGATCTTTGGCTGTATTTGTTGAGAGAGCCTGTGAACGTGGTCTGCGTGTGTGACGATTATCTGAACCGGTGCTGGCTCTCCCCTAGTTCGACTCAGCCTAAAATGAGTACCTAGTGCGGTGTGTAGTAAACATCGCCACTGGGGGAGACAAAGGCGGCACGGGCGGGGTTGGTCCTGACCACCCAACCCCGTCGTGTGCCGTGCCGGCCTTAATAGGTGCTACTCGCTAACAGCACTTGCCACAACAGTCTGGTAATGCTACACGGGGGATCTTTGGCTGTATTTATTGAGAGAGCCTGTGAACGTGGTCTGCGTGTCGTGTTCGTACTCTATACGTCCAGGTCGCGTTCGTGGTCAGGCTACATGAAGGCAAAGCTGTTCAAGTTGCACGTGGGTCCGGCAACCACTGTTGTTGACTGTTTGTGGGCGAGTCCGTGTGGTTCGGGCGATTTGTCAGTGAATCGGTATGTGTGGACCGGCTTTTCGTGTGTCCACGTTGTGTGGGTCATGGCTTGCTTATGACTGTCCTGTTCACAAGTTGTGTGTTTACGCTGTGTTGCAATGCCATGTGCGTGTGTTCGTGCTATATACGTTTTCAGTTCGTTCGTTCGTGTGTGTGTGTGTGCTTGTCAATTATTCAGCGAGGATTGCATGTGTGTTTGTGGTGTACGAGTGTGTTTTTTGTGAATGTTGTACTGCGTATGTGTGTTTAGGCAATGTTTGTTTATGCTGTGTGTGTGCAAGCTTAACAGGTGTTCATACTTGATTTAGTTTCAGTTTTCAGTTTCATTTATTTGGTATAGCCCTGTGAGCCATTCGGCTCTTGAATCGGGTGCAACCGCAACAAACAAAAACATCTTAAAGTGACTACGTGACTGTGAAAACAGAAAATCCAGGAAAAAACAGCAAAATATTCCTGAAAAAGCACCGTACACCAACGCTGTGTGCAAAAACCCCAGTGGGATGCAAGTCAAACAACAACAACCACAAGACAACTTAGATTAAGGCCGTCAGTCTAACTCCTTACTACAACAAACAAACATGACGAAACCAAAAAACGTTTTCGAAATCACCAAAATAAAGCCATAAAAGCAAAGTTGGTAACGTGCGTGGTAATTGCTGCTGTACGCTTGGCCAGGACATATCTGCACGTGAGTTCATGTCGTGTGTGCAGGCTTTGTGTCTGGGTTACGTGTGTGTTCAGTTTTTCAGTTTATTTATTTTGGTATAGCCCTGTGAGCCATTCGGCTCTTGAATCGGGTGCAACCACAACAAACAAAAACACTAACAAGAGAAACATCTTAAAGTGACTATGTGACTGCAAACAGAAAATCCATGGAAAAAAAACAGCAAAATATTCCTGAAAAACGCACCGTACACCAACGCTATGTGCAAAAAAATCCCAGTGGGATGCAAGTCAACAACCACAGGAAAACTTAGATTAAGGCCATCAGTCTAACTCCGTACTACAACAAAACAAACATGTCCAAATAAAAAAAAACGTTTTCGAAATCACCAAAAAAATAAAGCCATATTGTGTGTGTAAACTCTGTTCACACTCTTAAGGCTTGTACAGCACACACCGCTTCCCTTACAGATGTTGCGTTATATAAATTAGTACATGCTGTACAGTACGTGTTTACACATACAGTATATATATACATTAACATTAAAAGACGATGCAATGTCGCCACCTGCCGACGGTACATTTGGCAGTGTCCCGTGCAAGCACCGAGTCGTATTATAATCTTTGGACCGGAGGAATCCGATGAGCTATAAAGCTCTTTTTCACAGATGTCCAGTAGGGGCGGGTCACCAAGTTACAAGATAGAAAAATGCAGTACACAACAAACTATTATTGTTTATTTGTATCTAGTAATCCGAATGGGTACGTGTAGTTCGGTAAAAAAAAGCTGTTTATTAAACCCGTTGGATGTGAAGTTACGCACGGTTGCCCTCTTCACGATTCAATTTGTATTATTCGAATCATGATACGATTATTTGTTTCTATTGTTACACGCACATCGATCAACGTATTGTGAGATGGAGATTGTATAACCTATTAATCGATAGCCTATTAATTGACTAATTATAACATCCCTAATATCCGCTGGCTCATTTGGATTGTCACGTTAATTTAAACTATTATTAACTTCCTAAAACACTATTTATAAAGGAACTGTAACGCAATGTGTTATACTTAAATCCTTATGAAATGTAAAACACGATGCCAAAACCCACTAATATTAAACTTTATGAAAGGATAAATCCATCTTGATTTGATAAACCCATATTTATTTTTGCATAGTTCATACTTTTAATGTACTTTACAGTTACTGTTGTATTTTTGAGGCAAACATGTTTTTTTTTTACCGGCATGGTAAAATATAGCAAATAGCCCCAATGACCCACACGGTGTGGAACGTTCCACATCCAGTCGTGGGTTGACAAAAGGGCCGCTGTACATGTCTATAATTATTGTTTTCCTTTATGCACAGCCAATTATGTCATGAAACAAAAAAAACTACCCAGGGAATTTATGAGCACGTGTTTTGTACAGAAGCTGTCGAAGCCACATGTCCTGCCCTTTTTGATGGGACGCTCATAAAAAGGACGCGCAAGCTGCACTGCTCCTCACGATGGACACCACGCTCGTGCACAATGAGCGCCCTGGGACGAGAGGGAGGAGCGGCGGACGTGACCAACGATCCTCCACTGGAATTCCACGGCCTCGCAACAGGCGAGCCTCGAACTCGCAGCCTCAGGTACGACGAACAGGCACCGCCAATCCCTGATGCCGTCTCTCTTTGGCTTACGACCAAGTCACCCTAAATGCACCCGATATCGTCGGATCTCGGAAGTATACTGAGGTTGAGCCTGGTTATTACTTGGATGGTTGGGTAACCACCAATGCATAACAGGTAGTGTAGGAAAGGGACTGCAAAGGTGGCCAGGAGATGGGTGGGTTAAGTGTTACCGCTTCATATGTGTGTGTTTTTTGTTCAAGGTACTCCAGTTTCCACCCGCTAGTGGCATTGGACAAACATCCCAAAGTGGAGCCCTCCTGAACAACAGCCTGATACTGAATAGGGTGGGGTGTGTATGTGGCATTCGGGAGTCCTTTTCCTGGGTAAAACAATTGGCATGAGCCTCATTGCTTACACAGATAGGGCAAATGCTTTTTGAGATCACCTGTGAATGGCATTAGGCCTGGCTCTGAGTCACTGGCAGAGCCAGTGTGGGGGGGGGGGGTGGCACGTGCCCCCCAATGATCCGATCGAAATCCCTAATTTCGATCGGATCATTGGGGTTTATTCGTAATAAATCGGCATTTTGCGACCCCCACTGCCACTGTGTAGCACATTATTATGTGCCAGGGACTCTATGAGATGATAGGACAATAGTCCGAGTCCATAATTGGCAATAAGTAACGGCAAAGCAGTTATCAGTGACTCAGAATTGTGCGCAGTTGCGTATACAGTCCACGACTTCCCTGAAGGCAAACACCTTCAGGGAGCGCGATGCCGATCACACACGGTTCCAATTCGACCCTCGATCGATGGCTGCGCCATCGCCGCACACGCGTCGAATAAAAGCAAGGGACAAGTCCTTACTTACTAACAACTCCTATCATTTTTCATTGCTGGAGGGGTTGCCCCCCTACCTGAAAATCCTGGCTCTGCCATTGCTCTGGGTTATGGGGACAAATCCACCCCCAGCCACGACAGTCACTCATTTAAGCGGTGAATCCCACAACACATACACTTACGTTACAATTTAATTATTTCTGTTCAAATAAATTCCATTCGGTTCATTCAATGATGTTTGTATAATTGGCTAAATGAAAGTGTACACGTTCCTCCAAAAACTTATCCCGCCCGCAAATAAGATAAACATTCATACCACACTTTTGTTCTGTCTAATAAATGAATGTAAAATTAACTGAGTTTTAAGTCGAAATAAGCTTTACATTATGGATTCCATCCGATTTCAGACAGTTGTAATCAATAAAAACAACACATAAATTAGAGTGCATGATAGCAATGGTGTCTATGCAGATAAACAATACTGTTTTTTAATCAGTAAGTTATGCAACTTACATGAATGCATAATGAGTCAAATAAGCCGAGTTTGCTTCTGCTACTTAATGGAAACATAGTAATTGACTGCCAATGCATGTGTATGACCATGATTTGAAGCTGTGTTAGTTCATGGAGTTGCAGTTTTGCTCAAATCTGCATATACACGTACCAATACGTATTATAAAAAAAACATAACTGACAGTCTAATGTCGATCCACTGCTGGATAAAAGGCTCTCAATGATTGTTTGACCATACACGAGCATGCTGATCAGCGCAGGTTGATGAAGGGGCAGGCCTAGGATCTATTCAAATATTACTCGCCACTGATGTTGGCTATGGCTGAATATTTATCTCAGGTGCCTGGGTTAATAGCAGAGTGCACTCACCACAGCTCAACCACTTGCCCTCATATCACGCTTCAATATTTATCACGCGTTTACTATGATATAACAGTGAACACGCCAAGAACAAGTGGGATGATCCAGCATAAAAAACACACAAAATTTAGCTAATTGCAAGCACATGCGTTGTCCCAAAAGGAGTGCTTCAGGGCATACATGTGAATAGTGAAAATTGTCATGAACAGTGGGAATTGGAAGGCCCTCGTCTGTTGATGCAAATGCTATGGTTTTATCATGTGTGTGTGTGATCATCAGACACACTTTATTCATTGGTGGATAAAAGTTTACCTATTAGCGTGTTTTTTCATGTCATTTGTACTTCTACATTATTGAGAGAGTTACGTTATGTTAGCTTTCACGAACAAATTACAGAAGAGCAAAGGAGAATCATTGCTTTGTGTGTTGCAGCTAAATTTACCAGGTCAGGATTTCTACATTGTGCAAAACAGGTTTGAATAGCTCATGCCATTGAAGAGGCATTGGCTTTGTTGTTGTGGCTATAGCGATTTCTGCCTGTGGCCTCACGAGGTTCGAAATGGGATGTGTGGAAACATAACTAAATGCCCCAAGATCGCAGGATAACCTCACCTGAGCTGGGAGCATAGAGATGGCCGGATGGTTCAGAGATCAGAGCATCGAGGTGTTATCACTTACATCTTAGGGTTGAATTCAGGTTTCGGCCACTTGTGATTAAACTAAGTTCTGAAGCATAGCAAGTGCATAGTCTCAGCCTGGTGTCCAATAACCATTCCAAAATAATCAAGTAAAATATATTTTCTTCACTTCATTTAAATGAATTCCTATTCTAAGAAATTACACATATACATTGGATTGTGTTGCAACAAATATGTTAAAGTGTGTCCGCTAATAAGTGGATAAAAAGGTCACTTGTAAGAATCTCAAAAAAAGTATTGCATTGAGAATTCCAAACAAATTGTACATACAATTGGGGGAAGAGAGAGTGTGGCACGTGTGTCCTGCGTCCAGCACACAGAGCGTGGGCGAGGAGGCACGCTGGCTGTCCTGGGTGTCGCGCCAGTTCGAGCGTATTGCCGGCCATGGCCAAGAGATCACCATGCGGGAGTTCAAGGCAGCACTCAACATTAAGGAGGTGAGACCATGCTCAGTGTCCGTGAGGTCTCACTCATGATCACGTGGAGGGGGGGGGGGGGGGTGGTCCCTGTGGGGATGATAGAGCAGCGACCCTCGTTAGGTCTCAAAAGACGAGTTATTTAACCTTGGACCCAGACTGGACTTTTGACACTGACTGTGGACCCTGATCATTGATGCTTGATTTGAACTTCAGGATGCTAATTTTAAACTCTTGATACTGATTCCTTCATCTGGGTAGCTGTCCAAGAACCCTCAACACTAACTGTTGGATTTTGAACTATGTACCATGAACATGAACGATGGACCCTAAACCATGACCCTGTGAAGGTTTGCAAGGAAATATCCCTGACCCTCTTCCACAGTCGTTCTTCGTGGAGCGATTCTTCGCGCTCTTCGATTCAGATGGGAATGGGACCATCAGCCTGGAGGAGCTGCTGGGAGCGCTGCACCTCCTCGTACATGGATCACACATGGACAAGCTCACCTTTCTCTTCCATGTCTACGATGTAGATGGTTGTAAATTTATTGTTGTTTTAATTTGTTTTATTCATTCAATATATTTGAGATAAAGTATCCGTCTAATGGAACGCCAATGCTTGACAGCTACTAATTTCACTTTTCCTCAATTCCTGTGGCCCAATGCATATGATGGCAGAAAGGCAGCTTCTACCGTTATTTGGCAGAAAAATTGTTAAGTGAAATTAGTTTCAGAATTTCGATTTAAAGCTTTCGTGACTGCAGGGATTCATCTTCTTGGTTCTTTTGGTAAAGTCACGTAGAAGAGAAATAGTAAAATACGTGATTTTACCGAAAGAACCAAGAAGATAGTTTCAGAATGTCATTTATACGTTGATTTGTGAGTTTAAGATACATGGATGAAATTTCACAAATGAGAATTAATGTTTCATTCATATATGTATTTACTAATTATAATTTAAGAAATTGACATGCAAATGCAATATTAACACATTGAAGCTAATACAGAAATATTTTTTTGAGAAATGATAATTGAAAAAATGTAAATATAAAAACATACAAATGAGACAAATAAAACAAAATCAATACAAATCGGTTGGAAAAACCAAGGCCAAAGAATAATCACCGAATTTAATCACGGCTCCAGAATCGTAACAATTATTTAAATCACTGGGGACGCAAATCATCACATGCCTGCTAAGGTGGGCCCTTCGCCTTGCATTATTTCGCACGTGCGTGCACGTGCGCAGGCAGCGGGCTGATCGAACCTCACGAGCTGCGCACAGTGCTGGAGTCGTGCCTCAGGGAGAGTGCCATCTCTCTGCCCGAGGGCCGCCTCGAGGCGCTCACCCTGGCACTCTTTGAGGCTGCCGATGCCGATCAGAGTGGGGCCATCACCCTGCAGGAGCTGGGCGCCGAACTTGCCAAATTGCCTGGCGTGCTCGAGGACCTCACCATCAGGTGCCTGCCGTCCGAGCAAGCACGCTCACCTTTCTTTATGCATTACAACTAAGGTTGACAGCGTGTATATGCATGTATATATGTTGAGCTTCTTTCGCATCGTACGTAGCCAACCATGCTAATTGGATGTATAGGGTGTGTGCATTTCCTCTTTTATGCTCAGCTGTGCTTAAAGGGGTTACACTATGACTCTATTAAACATGGTCCAATATGAACAAAACTTAACTGTAAAGTTGCATTGCTATTATCCTCTTGAAAAATAGTCAGAGATCTATGGGTTGGCCAAAACGTGGAGACACAAACCAGAGCAAAATTGACTATCCATATTAGCAAACATTCAAGTGCATTTTGCTGTCACAACTACTTGCCAGCATTCATACTGCCTATTAATACTTAGAAGGACATAGTCCACGTTTTTTTCATGATTTTATGAATTTATTTTGGTTTTATTTTACATTTTTGTGTAAGCTGTACTTGCTTAGGAGGCGCCATTAACTTCCCACAGTGATAATTGTGTTAACCCTGGTGGAACAACAAACTGAGTCTACCTTGACCAGCATTTTATATATATTTGGATTTCATATTGAGTTATATTTACATTTTATATTTGAGTTATTATCAGCCATGATCTATCCACAGCTGGATTAGGGCCTCCACACCCTCTTGGGGGAGTTCCTGCCTTTGGAGGTATATTTATCAGTTTCCAAATTTTGCTAAACCCTATTTGATTTCGTGTGATGCTCCGTCTCTCTGTATCCCCTGGTATATCTGTGTTAATTCCTTCTACTTAAGGTCTGTATATATATCTGCGGTTATGTGTTTCCTCTACCTGATGATGATTGCTTGTGTTGCAATCGAAACGTCGTATATTATGTAATTTAATTTTTTCTCATTTCTACGTGACTTTACCGAAAAAAAAAACAAAGATTAATATAAAAATGATCATAGTAATGCGTTCATGCTCATGGATACACAACAATGTTCTTTGACGACTCAGCGCGGCGAGCTGGCTGAAGCCCCCGTGCGAGCACGCGCAACACCATGGGCCGCCGCGGTACTTGACGCGCACCTACTGGCAGAACAACTACCGCAAGCTGCTCTTCATGGCCGCGTATGTGTGCACGAGTGCGCTGCTCCTGGGTCTGGGTGCGCACGCGAACCACCGCCAGGGGCCCTGGGTGAGTGCGGCGCGGGCCTGCGGCCTCTGCCTCAACTTCAACTGCGTCCTCGTGGTGGTGAGAGAGCAAGACAGCGTCTACGAAATTATAACATCACAATATGGTGTAACAACTGGATGTGGGGCTGTGAAAATTATGTTCACTTTTGTACCACATGTCGTGGTGTTTTATGGTTAAGGAACAGGTCTCCTGGCGCGGCAGTTGAAATAACGGGGCAAGTTTGTTCAATTCCGACCTCCTGCCTCTGTCCACCCCGCAGTATAAATGGGCACTCCACAGTCAATTGGCAGGTCACGTTTGGTGGGATAAAGCGTGGTTACTCTCACCTCTTCCAAGATGCCTGGCTAGCTTAGAAGAGTAAGCCAAAATCACCTCTAGAGGGGTTCTATAAAGCTCCTCCTAGTGGGGGGCCTTTTAAAAGCAGTGGCATGAGCAAACAATTGCAGGGCTGCACCTTTACCTGATACGGTAGAATAATCGGAGATGACCCATGAAAATGTTATTATTACATTACATGTAACAAAAGGAACAAAGATAATTTGGTATAGTGTCTGCATGCGTAAAGTGGATAAGCTCTTTTCAGCCAGGATCATGTTCATATATTTGTGGCAGCAAAGTAACCAAAAGGTGGGTAATGATTTCATCATTGTGAATTCAAGCCCTCTAAACAGCACAATGGAGGGATTCTTAAACTCCATTCTTCATACCCCCAAGACAGCCCATACTCTGCAGATTGTCCAGAATCAAAGTACATCGCACACACCTGTAAAAATTTTAACCTGTGCCATGGTGATGACAATGATGATGGTGGTGGCATAGGTACCTAGTAGGTATAGTAACAGTGAATAGATTCATCGATTAAAATCAATGTTATGGACACAATACATGCATTAAATTCTGCATATGCCAATTGATATGTTGTTTGAAATCATGTAATGTAAACCCTGCAGCCACCAGTTAATGTTAATAGTAATGACGACGATGGTGTGGGTGGTGATGATGCCAGGTGCTGATGCTCCGCCGCTGCCTGACATGGCTGCGAGCCACGTGGGTGGTTCACGTCCTGCCCATCGACCAGAGCGTGCTCTTCCACCAGATGGTCGGCTACGTCTTGTCTGCCCTCGCCTCCGTGCACTCACTCTGCCACGTTGTCAACTTCGGTGAGGAGAAAATAATAATAAAAAATAATACAATTGTTTAACCGCATTAATCACAGTTAAGCGGACGGCACATTCTGGGTGCATGACGGACATAGGATTTGGTGAAAATGTCCCCGACTCTCCCCTACTGCCGCCAGTTTCCTCCGCTCTATCTCTGACCTTCACGATCAATCTAATTTGTTTTGACTGACATTCTATTCATCACCTTGCCCAAACCTTGCTGATGAAACTCATTGGAGTTGAGACTGGTCCAATATTGCTTCGTTTAATAAACATGTTAATGGGTAACAAAAATGGGAAAAGGCTCACAGGCCGGTGGATTAAACGTTATATCCTTTCAGCGATTTAAGCAAATCCCCTGACCTGTTTATTTTTTTGCATTCTGCTGTGCTATGTATAGCCAGAGCGCCGCACTGATAATTGCCGCCGCCGCTGCTGCTGCTGCATGACATCACCCTCGTTCAGTGAAGCGATCGCGCGACTTGTCAGAAACTGGTGCTGCGAACGTCTTCATCAAGCACCGCTGTGTGTCTGCGCCTGACACTTTAGGGTCCGAGTGCTTTCAGTCCCTTTGTGCTAGACACAACATCGACTTAATAACCTAATTTATAGCCGTTTAAAAATAAACTGGGTCGCGTCTGTTGATGACATTCAATTTTACCAGAAATGCAGTTCGTTCCCTTAATATGCTGAGATGTAATCCGTCTTCGGTAGGATTAGAGGGTACCTCTCAGTGCCTAAAATTAATTTGACCACTAACAGTTGCAAACAGTGGCTCTAGGGCCAAAAGGAGAAACGTCTGTTGATGAAAGATAACAAACACAAGCCCATGACATTGCTTTTACTGTTGCATGAGAGGACATTGACTTGCTCGTGGGACACATTAGTTGAAAGGACGACAATGGTTGAGTATTCTGAAGGGGATATGAAGCAATGACATCAGGGTGCGTGTATGATAATAATACGGATGATGGCATTGGTGCAGGAAGGGAGGAGCCTTTGCCTCTGTATTGCAGCAAAATGACAGGCTGTGGGGGGGGGGGGAAATACGTGCCTTGTTTCATTCGATTATAATCGATTATAGTCCACTGCAGCCAATCCTGCAATACCATAACCGTAACATTAATTGCAATCCATGTCCTGTCTTTATTGGGATTTTTTTTCAATAATGAATTTCTGAATGATAACTACTGTAAAATGTTTATATTACACGTTCACAAACATTTACAATTCAGCATTAGGTTTAGAGGCGAAATACATTCATCATTTGTGTTCTAGGTTTTGTTTAGGATTGATTTGGACGGAGAGTTTACATTCAGGGTTTGAGTCTAACATAATAACCAATTATGTTGGAATTCAAATAGAGCGTGGCAGGTTTTTTGTGTAGCAGTATCAGCATGAGGCTTGAGGTTTTTCTCCTTCTGGTAGAGACTATAATAACAGCTGATGCTGCCTGCTTTTGTCACCGCAGCTGGTGTTATATCTTGTGATTATGTTGATGACATTCACAGATAAAATAATGAAGATTAATTTGTGGTGCATTGATCATTATGATGGTAAGTGAATTATAATTTGGTAATGTATTAACGATAGCGGGAATATGATTTATTATAAACTCATAAATATTGTGGTCATAAACTGATAATGAAAATTGGGTATGGTTGACGACAAAGCGTTCATGGACAAATGCTCTCAAAATAAAAAAAAACAAAGTCTCCCTGTTTTTAGTGAGAATTCAGGCGATGGTCATCTCTGTGTAACCGGCCCACTCTATCCCTCTCCTTCCGTGTTCGTTACGAGGGGACAGGCCGGTTAATAAGTACAAAAACAACAATAATAATAGATGAGTTCGGAGGCGATGGGAGGATACTCTGCGCTGTGTTCTGCCCTCCTTCTGAGAATCGGATTACTCCACCACCAAGGGACACCAGAGGATTGTGTGACTGCAACTCTTTATTTCAAAGTGTTCTTCTGAGGAGCATTTGTGCATCTGTAATTATGACCAGATGCACAGCAATCAACCCCAATTCACACCATCTCACTGCTCAACCCCTGCACTGTATAGCGTCCACCCAAATCTGAATAGGTTCCCTGTACCCTGAATTGATTACTCTACTGGTGGGCGTGGCCTACTGTGCACTCACATGACCCTATGGGCCCAATCCATGGTCATTTTATTCACAATTAAACTTGTGGTTCATTTACATTAAGCCCATACCGGCTACATCTGCAATGGTAGTATTACATTCCCAAGGAAAACTATCCCTTGTCATGTGAATGTGGAATTTCCACAGGGAAGATTATTAAGAAAAAATTATACCACTTCATCAGACCCAAGAGGGATGATGGGCAGAGTGAAGTCTAGCTGGATTTAGAACTCGCACCCTTCCAATGTTTAGTTCACCACTTTGACCACAACACCATGAGTAATGTGACAATGTGTTCATTCATATACATCGATTTTTATGCTCACGATATATGCACCAAACCGTTTATGGAATGTATTATTTACAATCTCCATATATATAAAAGGCAAAGTTGTGAATATGTGTGTCTGTTCAAAATGTTTAGCGTACTTCCCGACATGCAACAAACTGGAAATTTTCCATGTGGGTATTTTCCAGACTGTACACCATGCAAAAATTATAAAAAATAAACGTTTCTTTTTGGGGGGGGGGGGGGAGCTCAATAATGCATATTTTTTTGTACGGCAAGTGAGCTGTGACGTCAAATCTGTCATGTGACACGTGCGTGTGGAAGCGTAACGCATTGTAGTGTAGTGGTTAGCGCGCTGTGTATGTGTCTGTGTGTGTAATCTGTGTGCGTGTGGACGCGTAACGCATTGCAGTGTAGTGGTTAGTGCGCCGCGCTACGTACCCAGCGACCCGAGTTTGATTCCCGCTCACGGCCACCACCGGTGACGATTATTTTAACCAGTCCTGGGCCTCCCCTAGGTCGACTCAGCCTGAAACAAAGACGGCCGCGCGTGGTGGATCCAAGTCCCGGGCGAAGCCGGGTAGTACAGCTAGTACATCATATGAAAAGTATATTCTTATGATTTGCTGATGTTACGTGTATGCTAATGAAGTGAACGTAACTGAATTGACAAGGCAAAAAGAGAAACAATACAAACAAGTCAGTGAAAATTAGACAAAGAATAAAAAATAATGTTTTTGTATAATTTACATGACCCCAGATTGTGACAATTCATCAAACCACTGGGAGGGCAAACATCATTAAATGCCTTATATCATCACCAGTCATGATCTATCCACTGCGAGATGACAGCCTCGCAAGCTGTCACCATCTCTCACTATAAAGTGATGCAACAATCCACCTTGCTCCCCTGTATGACCTGATTTAATCACCCAATCTCTGTCTTCCCAGGCAGGTTCCCTAATATAAATGCATAGCTCTCCAATTAGATTTTTGGTTGTACTGTGTATTTCGTCATGATGTCCGACATATCGCTCCCTGTACTGGGAGCTTCGGACAAACAACATGCGGTACAATGTATTCAAATATATCAAATAGCTATACAGCACAACCACGAATAACTATGCAATAGTAATATCAATGCATATTTGAATGTGTGACTGTGAGAATAACCGCTTGCCCGCCTTTGGCAGTGTCACTGTCGAGGCAACCAGACGCCCGTTACAGCCTCTGGGAGTTTCTCCTCACGACGCGGCCTGGCATCGGCTGGGTCAGCGGTTCGGCATCCGTCACGGGCGTACTGCTCCAGATCCTCGTGGGCCTCATGCTTGTCTGCTCCAGCCCCTGCGTGCGACGCGGCGGGCACTTTGAGGTGCTGCCCTCTGTTTTCCCTGCGGCCCAGGCTGTGTTAGTGGCAGGGTCAGATTTATGGGGGGAAAGGGCAAACTGGACTTTCATCCAAGACCAAAAACTGCAGCGGCCCAACAAATGCATAAATTGTGTTATATAAAAAGTACATGAGCAACATTTTTGTCACTCCATCTGTCAATCCACTGTTGGAAGAGAGCCTTCCCACACCATGTAGGCAGTGAAGGTTATAAGAACTCTCATAATCCAAGTAATAGATATTATCACTGGGTGATTTGGTCATTGGAGTAAGAAAAGTAGAACCGCTTATTTATATTTTAACTATATTTAAATGTTACTATCTTAATTTGCTCTTTTATTATATTATCCATTTTCTCCAATTTATTAGCATTTGGCATAGATTAACCCTCCTGATGGGGGGCAGGGTGAAAAGTCCATAATAGAGGGTTTTTTGGGTTAGATCGCACATTTACGCGATCTAACCCAAAAAAAACCATAATGGTCGCGAAAGCCTACGTGTTAAACTAGGGTGAAAAGTTATTTCTGCTCCGGTGTCCTGGGAGAATAGATACCTAAATTGACCATGGCTCATGCTCTTGTTTATATATTTTTTTCTTATCCTTAAAACATAGAGTCAGTGTGCCCCATATTCAGATGAGTAATGGGGGTCCTCGTGTTTGACGGCTTTTCAGAGCCAGTTATGGAAATTCCATAATTTCCTAACATAACGGTATTTACTTATTTTAAACTGAAGAGATTATGAGATCAGTCGTCTTTATTATTGTTAGGTACCTCTGCCATAGCATCACCTAGCTCGATTAAACATGAATACCACAGTTCCACTAAAATAGATAAGCAATGAATGCCACGGTTTTACACAGATGTTCAAGAATTATAGGGTAAAAATTAAAATGTAAAATTACGTACAGTAAATTAAAAAAAGTAAGAGCAGTAATATAAAAAAACTGCAAATTTTGGACCATACCACCTGCACACAATAGCTTATTTTAGTACAGGAGATTGCAGGGCCTTTAGTGTCAACTTTATAGCAATTTTCCTTGCTTGATAGCGCTCGCGGCCATAATTCCAACTTGGATTATTTTCCCGAGTGCCTGGATGAGGTAATTTTCTGTACCTCAAACCCCTCCATCATGTAAGAATATTTCTTGGGTGTACCCTTGCAGTGACCGAGCCCACGTGTGTCACTGCTGGTGTCAGTCTAGAAAAACTTTTTTCACCCACTTAATATCATGCAAAACGTTTCTTATTCCATTTTCAATTAATCTCAAGATATTTTGAAAGTCTATGGGTGTAGCAACTATGGGTGGATAAGAGGTTACTTGAAGACATTTCAAAAACCTTTCTGCAATATCCCCTTCCACTCACTGTTCTCTAAGACACGGTGATGTACTGTTCTGCGAGAGTTCCGAATGGATTATTTTCGCTCATGACACAATGCCTGCAGCATAATTGGGATTAAATAATATAAACATTTGAAAAAGAATCCTAAATATATAATCATCGCAGTCCAATGTGAATCAATTAGTCTCCTAACAGAGATGTATACATTTGTATATGTTTCATTGATGAATGTTTCAATATTTCGTAAGCTTATAACAGAAATATGTTTTTGCAGAATTAGAGTTCACTCTGAATTCAACTAAAGTAACCGTTTTGAGCCTTAGATTCTTCCTGATTTGAATTTTGGCATTCCTGTTGCTGACTTAATTCATCTACCCGCTGAGCAGACCTGAATGCCAATTCCATTTGAGTGTTTGAATTCGCAACAGATTTGAATGACAATGTAATTGTAATTTCAACTTACACTGCAGCTGCAAATGTAATTAGTTGTCCTCAGGTGTGCTCCTGAGCCGCCCAGCCACCTCACCACTCCGTGAATGTGTTTCTGCCATGCCCTCCGTCTTTTGCCCGTGTGTATCCTCCAGGTTTTCTACTGGACACACCTGTGTTACCTGTGGGTGTGGCTGCTGCTCGTGCTCCACACGCCGCACTTCTGGAAGTGGCTGGCAGGGCCCGGCGCGCTCTTCCTGTTTGAGAAGCTGCTCGGATTGGCTCGTTGCCGCATAGGCCACACCCACATCACCGAGGTCAACCTACTGCCCTCCAAGGTGCGGCACACGCAGCAACACGGCCAAGCTCCTGCTCTCCAAATTGTCACATGCAAATATCGTTGTGGCCATCCTCTTATCCTCAAAGGTGGCAGTAACACACAGCAACAAGGCACCAAGGAGCAAACCTACTGCCCTATATGGAGTGATACATGTGGTACACACATACTATAAACTATAACTATTTTTTATTTTACCAGGTAAGGCCCACACGAACAGGGTAAACTTCATGTGCTATGTCGTGTGGTATACACACATCAACACAGCTAAACTCCTACTCTTCCAAGTGTAATACACGCCTATCACTGAGGCCAACCGATTACCCTCCAAGGTGAGGGATTACACAAAACAACGAGAACAGCCTCGTATCCTCAAATTCGCGGTACCCAAACATCAACAAGGTAAGATGAGCAGGAATCGTCACGAGAAGAGGTGATGGCCCATGGTTGAGGCTAACAACTTACTGGCAAAAAAAGCACATCAATGTCCGAGAGGACATTAACCATGGAGATGGCTCTAGACGGATTGTCGCATCACATGACCCTGGGAGATGATGTCAGGTATGGGAGGACTTCATTCAGCATTGGTTATTCATCTTCATTATGGCTGATGATGATGAAAATTATGAATTACCTTGAACTGGGCTAAGGAGCAGTAGTAAATAATTTATTCAGAAGTTGTTCCAGTTTGACTGCCAACTGACCATCGTCCAGTCAGTGTCCAAAAATGTTTTTTGTTAAGTGGTACATGATTTTATAAGTTATTGACAGTTTCTAGTTTGGCTGGTTTAGTTTTTTTCGGTGTAGACATGAGCCATTTGACTTTGAAAGCCCAAAGGGCCACCTTGACTGATACTGCATGCATGTTTTTTTTTGTATTTCTTGTCTTTGCTAGTTTTTTCTGTGCCCTCAGGTAACACACCTCGTGATTCGCAGACCTCAGCATTTTCACTTCAAACCGGGCGACTACATCTACCTTAACGTCCCTGCCATCGCTCAATACGAGTGGCACCCATTCACCATCAGCAGTCCCCCCGAGCAGCAAGGTGCCTCTCATGATGCCACCCATCTCAATTGTTGTAGTGGAAGTGCACACACCACGCTTTGCCACCAAGGCTGGATTATCTCAGGAGAATTCTGAGATAATCCAGCCTTGGTTTTTTTTATGACAACAAGTTGGAGCACACCATCTGATGATTTAATAAATGGGTTGTTTTGATGACCCTAAAGGGGGACCGTATTCTTCATCAGTCTAAAATATTGCATAGTTGTGACAGGTTTACATACGAGAGACCATCTAGTGAGGTGGGAGTCCCCACCCTCCCTCTTCCAGTCCCTCTTCCCACCTCATCACATAGTCTCTCATATGTAAACCCGATGCAATGTGAGATATTTCAGACTGATGAAGACTACGATCCTCCGAATGTAGTAAGGGAATACTGCGGCATTATAACCAGCGCCACGGGGATGTCGGTTGGTGCTGCCTCACAGAAACCTTGTGGCTGCACGTGCGCTCCATGGGGCAGTGGACGATGCGTTTGTACGAGTACTTCAGCTCACACGACGGGCGAGCGGTGTGCCAGGACCCCTACCAACGGCTTACTCGACGCCTCACTCCCACTCCCTGCAAGAACTGGACCCAGGTGCTTGCTCGTTTATAATATTAATCTTAATGTGGTCTTCAGTGTTACGCCGTGTGTTGAACTCCTAAACATTCCCCGCAGTGGTGCATGGAAAAAGCTTGGGAAGACATGTTCAACTCAACGACCTAACCCGAATTGCCACATTTGAATTACGAACAGCTATGAAAACCTGCTCCAGTTCTTGTTGCCTCAATGGGTCTCTGCCTCCAAGTTGTGCTGTTCTGGACTTCTTCCGTGATATATTTCCACTTCTTCTCGGTCCATTCCTTGATGTCACTTGCCCAGCTAATGCGCGGATTTGTCACGTCCTCTTGGATTTTCTGCTAATATTTTCAGCACTGTGCATGGTAACAAGTCACCACCCATCCGTATGACATGTCCAATATAGTTCCTGAAGAAGTTCTCAGCACATGGTGTGCAATACATAGTACAACCTGAAATTACATCAAAGAGTGTTACCATTGGCTCAACGAAGCTTTGCTCTGCAAATGATAAATTATGAGTGGCTGTGCACAAGATTCATGTCCCACACTCTTGTTCCTGCAGCACGTGTTCAGCATGGATGTGATGGATGACCCGGCAGCCACGCCGGCACAGGAGGACGTGCGGCTCACGTCCTTTCGTAGCCGACGTGGCTCGCTCGAGGAGCCTGGGGTGCTGCCAGCTCAACCGCTAGCATCCTCCTCATGTGCAGCTGCTGTGAGTGCAGGGGTAGTGGAGGCCCTTCTTAGGATGCAGGGGAGAGCACTACTGCATGGGATGCTCTTTTACAATGTGTACCCAGGGATGAACTCTGTGAAATAATCGCCCAATCACATGGAATGTGCCTAATTTGAGAGGCTAAGAAGGGTTAGTTATGATAGGTGATCATCATACATAATACAGGTGTTATAGGCTGCTGTGGGGTTACATTATGGGCAGCAGAGGGCAGTGCAACAAAATCCGTTGTTTTACTATAACGTGCTTCCGCATGTATGCTGCCTGCTCGCAATCACCGGCGTGGTGAAATATGTTCAAGTAACCACGATGACCCGCATGACATTTAGAAACCTTCATTCTGCATTGATCGACAACAGAGCTGAACATGTACACACGTACATTTATCCAGGGAAGAACTGAGCTACCGAGCACCCGAACATTCAGTTGCTTAGCCGATCCTGAGGCTGGGGTACTTTACGCGGAGTGTGCCCTAGATCTTAACTACAGGCGACTAGTTGCAGTTGCTTCGAATAGAAAACAGCTGACCTCCGTGAACCATTTACCAGGCAAATGCTAACTTGCCCGGTGGCCTTGTCCACCCACTGTGAGAGTATCCAGACGTTCGTGTATGTAACTGTACAGGCACGTGGTTGTCGACTAATCACCGTATCAATGCATATACTGATGCAGCCCAGCCTCACACATGTGGCCATATTTCTTGGTACACATTATAAATGCATCAGTGATCATGAATGTGTTTATTCTATTGTTGGGTAAACTGTGTAAATGTGGAGATGGGTTGAGTGAGGCTGGTTTGTTATATAAATGTATTCATCAATAAACTCAATGACCGCTATAATGACATTTATTTTATTTTATCTTCTGCAGGGAACCTATACTGACAAACATCACAAAGTCTGCAACATAAAGGTGCCTCAGAGACAATAAAATAATGGAACGAGTAGAAACAATAATGGATATAATTTCCACAAAGTTACGTGGAAGTGCATCATAGACATAAACAGAACAAATCGATATTGCCAGGAGTAGATATATTAAGGACAAATAAAACATTTGAAGGCAACTGTTAAAAACATCCAAACAAGCAGTAGACATTAGCTCTCTCTGTTGGTGGTCCTGAGGAAATAGTGGCACATCCACATTCCTATGACGGGGATTATTTCCTTCGTAGGATAACCATTGTGCTTGATTCTTAAAATGTGTCACAATCATAGTTTATAGGCCAGACTTTTTAGCAGTTCTGTGCATTTTTATATACAGTATGTATATTTTGTTATGTATACATTTCACTAATTCGGGATGCTGTGTCCTGTGCATACAGTGTTACCTGGATGGGCCATACGGGACGGCGACGAGACAAATCCTCATGTCCGAGCACGCAGTGCTCATCGGGGCTGGGATCGGTATCACTCCCTTTGCCTCAATCCTCCAGAGTTGCATGTACCGGTATGACCTCCTCTGTGCCCAGCTAGTCAAACTGATTTCCTGCTGAAATAAGCGTTGAGACGTTTCTCATCTCCTGTTTAAAGCCCTGAACCCGTGGTGGAAATTACACGTTCCTATGGTGGGGGTGAGTCTATCCATAGAACAACCACCGTTGACTTTTCCACACAGTGGTACACATTTTTTATCGACCTCAGAGATATGATGGGCTTTGTCAACCCACAACCAGGATTTGAACTCGCAACCTTCCGATTGTGAGCTGCTCACTCTACTGCTGAGCCACTTGGAAAAAAATATAATCATTTTCATAATCATCACCAGCTATGATCAATCCACTCCTGGATGAAGGCCGCTCCAAGATGTCACCATCTTTTTACGGTCTCGTGAAACAAAAAATAATTTGAGCACCTGCAAATGAGCTGATTAATTTTCTCCATCTCTGTGGTGGATATCATCTATCTTTCCATCTCTCCATGGATGTCTGTAATTGTGTGTAATTTATCAAGTGTAGCTTGTCTACCTAATGTGTCCTTTTTGCTCTTATTCAAGAGAATAGAAAGGGCCTATACATTTGATCTAGTATGAGAATAGTTGTTTTTGTATGCAGTACATTTGTATTTGTCCTCTCAACGCTCCAAGCAATGCTTAGATTTTAAATGGCGGTTATTAAACAAGAGGGTGAATTGTAAACCTGGTAAATTAGTCAGCAGGGGGCAGCCACACTTTGCAGGTCCCCAACAAGGCATTGCAAATCACCTAGACAGATGGGCCACTTACTATTTGAAGTGGAACACATTTCTCCCATGGTAATCTTCACTAGCCAGTGCCAAAAACGCGGTTTTTGGAGACGGAGAGTCACTGCTTGCTCTGTTATAAGTATTTGTCGTGTGGTAACACATACCTGTAATCCAATCTGAGATGACGTTGGTTAAACACGCAAGGATGTGAGCTAGAATGTGTTTTAAGCGCCCACCTGCCATGCAATTTGTGCCCCTTTAGGGGACAGTATTTGCGTGTGGAGTTTGCGTGTAATAACGTCATATGTATGGGTTTTCATCATGTATGTAGAAGACAGCTCACGGAAAAGACATGTCTGATGGGAACCGGATAGGTTATCAACTTGCTTTCTCCTGAGACTGACCCCTCAAGACCAACATATTCGTGCTAACGTACCGTCTGTCTTAATATGACACTGTATGTAATCCTGTCTGTCACAAGATTCACCAGTTCCTCGCGCTGCTTTCTTGCAGATACCGAATGCGCAAGCAGACTTGCCCTAGCTGTGCATACTCGTGGTGCGAGAGCATGAACGACCATGACATGAGGCTGCGCAAGGCATGTAATCATCATGAACACATTTCTTTAGAACCGATTTTTGTGTTTTGTTTGTTGTCCTTCCTCCGCACCTTCAATTAGCACCGTTGGCTATGTACTGTGCAAAATAAGTTCAACATACATACGTACATCATAATATCAACTCCTTAATCTTTCCAGCTTCAACAGTGTGCACCTATCCAGGAAGTAAGGGAGGATAGATGTGGCTAACTGGACTCTAATATCTTCCCCTCAGTCTGCTTAGTGCCTCTGAAATGCACGTGATCTCAAGCAAACAGACAATAAATGTAATGTTTTGTCAGTAGTAGCCTTTGCCTGTGTCCTGATTAGCCTGGTAATGTTTAGCTTGTCACGTTGCAAGTCGCTGACTGGCTTTTTTATGCTCAACCATATTTTTTTTATAGACTTGCATTTGTACGTGTAATGTTTAACATTGCCGTCAACACCACAAATTTCATCGTGACTTATTTTTTATTAAAACAAGTTAACAGAGTATGTGTGTAAGCTTTGCATATGTATCGGTTACATTTATTACATGGATGTGTTTTGTTGTGTCATTTTGTTTTGCTATCAATATACTCAAAGCCGTTGCATTCTCAAATGAGCACCAAACTGTCTTAAGTTGATGCTAAAATCCAAATACCTATGGCTGAGATCAATCTATACATAGAACAACCACTGTTGACTTCAACATCAACACCTTTTACAGGCTAAGGTGGTGCTTGTTTTACCAACTCCAGAGATAATGGACTGTGTTGACCCTGGCCTGAATTTGAAAGGAAATATTTTATTTGTATCCTAATGCCCCACCATGCAAGCTATTTTCTGATCACAGATGTGTACACTCCACAGAGTGTGCATCATTCACACTGCAATACATTTCCAGCGACCCAGGTTCAGGTTTTGGCAATGAGGTACAATGCAAGAGGAAATTTGTAGTTGAACCTGGCCTGCGTCTTCTGAAGTTCAGCATGGCCTAAAATGAGTACCTGTTGTAGAATGTGAACATGGCCACTTGAGAGGCAAAAAACATCCCTCATCACCATCTAACATCTCACATCAGCCTAATTAGGTGCTCTCTGACAGCAAGGCTAAGCACGGAATATGTCCTTCATATTTAAAGCAAACAAAAGTAAGGAACTCTGTTGACTGCATCAGTAGTGGTACACAATTACAAACACATGAATTCCCACACTCATTGTCAACACTGTCTTATAGAGGTGAAAACATAATATGGTGACATTCTAGGTAAATAATGGGCATGGTGATTTTTTTTACCTTCCTATTTGTGTATGTATATTGTTTTTAATTATTTTGTTTTCATTGCTCTCTGCAGGTGGATTTCTTTTGGATTAACCGAGACCAGACGTCCTTCGAGTGGTTTGTGAGCCTCTTGACAAAGTTGGAGCTAGAGCAGGCAGACAAGGAGCCAGAAGGTTAGGGCCTTTTTTCTCCCTGGTTTGTGTAGACACCCACGTGCCTGTACAGTTACATAGCATAATGATTGCAGTTCTCTTTTTAACGAGGCAAAAACCTATTCAGATTCAATATAATGGATATGGAGGCCAGAATAAACATGGTTACAAAATGTTATTTCCATTTTTGTCGGAAATAAAGAATGTTAGGTTTGGTTCAGTCTATGACTGTGATATGCAATAGACTACTTTTCATTACTAATAAGTGCAGAGGTTCCATTGAGGTCCTTTACAGGATACTTACAGCAATGGTGTAATGCATTACTTATATTACCGTTGTCAGCAACACATAATTAGGAATGACTGTGCACATAAAAATAACACCATATGACACATCAAATATTGGATTAGACATATATGCACATAATACTGTTAATATTTCAACACCAAGGTCAATAATATTGTTTTCACATTGCTAATGTTTATTGTGGTGTTATACTTGCAGGCAATTCGGAGGGAAATTATGACTGTCGTAATGTGTACAGGTGTTGTTTAAATAGCCTTAACTCTGCTATTCTTTATATACAAATATATCCCATGTTAACCTCCACAAACTGTTGGGGAAAGTGCTGTTCGCGAGCATCTTTTTAGGTTGACATGGCAAACATGGAGGTGGTGTGGCGAGCACATACACACGGTAATCTCAGGAAACCATTTGCTTGTTCATCATATTGTCAAGTGGCCTCTTACCAAATCACCCACAATGCACACGAAATCTAAGCTGTGTTGAGCCTAGGTAGTGTTTGAATTCGGTGAGCATGCACAAACATAGACATAGTGGGTAGAAGAGGGAAGTGCAGCAAAATCTATTGTTCTGTACTCCCCTATCATGCACTGACCAACTGGGAAAGTATGGTCAAATAACCAACACTGCCTGCAGAGTGGAGAAGCTCTCATCCCAACAGTGAACAATACATACATACATTATAAGCAATTAAGTCCGTTGTGAATTTATACTACTGGCAAAATCACTAAAATGCTTTGCCAGCTTTGTGGCGGTGAAAATCTGATTGATGTCACTCGCAGGTCGCTTCCTGGAGATGCACATGTATATGACATCAGCACTAATCAGTAACGACATGATGGCGCTGGGGCTACAGCGGGCACTGGATCTGCTGGCACAGAAGGAGAACCGTGACTCTATCACGGGTCTGCGAACGCGCACGCAGCCCGGGCGGCCAGACTGGGGCAAGGTCGGTCATATTGAACGATCAGCACAACAGGGTTCAACTTTTAGCGACCCATCAGCAAATAAAACATCACCAGATAAAGACATAAAGAGATATTCTTGGTTCTCTCGGTAAAGTCACGTAGAAGGGAAACAATAAAATAATACATATATTTATTTATATTTATTTGTTATTTTATTGTTTCCCTTCTACGTGACTTTACCGAAAGAACCAAGAATATGAATCCCTGCAGTCACGAAAGCTTTAAATAAAAACATGAAGAGATGTTAATTGTTTTGACTGTTTCGTATATTTAAACCAAACAGGATTATTAGGAGCAGGATAACTCATGTTACTGCACAGCCATAATCTTAGGTAATTCAACATCCGTCAAGTATTATCCAAGTGGAATAATGTCATATTTAGTGCTGTCCAGCATCATTCAGTGGTGATAACTTGTTTGTTTTTATATTTATTTTCTAAATTGGCGTAGAAAGCTACTCAAGACTATTGTATGAGCAGAGACTGAATCGCCTCGCTCTTAACTTGTTTTTGATGTTCTCATTTCAGGTGTTCCAAAAGCTGGCAGATGAGAACAAGGGGAAAGTGCAAGTCTTCTTCTGCGGAGCCCCTGCTCTTGCCAAAGTCATTAAGTCACACTGTGAGCAGTTCAACTTCAAGTTCTTTAAAGAGAACTTCTGAAAAATCATTCATGGAGCAGATGCAACTCACATCTGATTACTGCACTGTGGGTCACTTTCTGTGTAAGGAAATTATCTTTTCCTTGGCTGAGCAAGTTTAGTGGTGCGCAAACTCTATTTCCATCTGGCAGTGATGTGATTCCAGATGCACTGGTTATAGCAAGAGCTATGATATATGTGAGACAGCTACATGCTGGATAATGATGTGCTTTTGAAAAGAAAGTACAACAAAGCAAACGGGTGTCTGACAACCTGCCTTTGCAGAATAAGAAAGTATTCTTCAATATATTATGGGTGTTATTAGTTTCCCATGCTTTCCTCCCACGTAGAAGTTAGTTCCTGAACAGTTGTCAATTACAGTTTGGATATAAATAACATAAATGGGATTGTATCTATAGATGCTGCAGATAAACAGTACACAAACATTGAAGAAACCTTAAGACTGTTCAAGGGAATCATACTTTTAAAAACAATCTATGCCTTGAGTTTCCTGGACGACTGCTGGCTGGGCTTCTCTCTGCCCAACAATAACTGTTGGTGGCTCCGGGCTGATGCCACCGAAACTATCTGGGTTACTGGCTAAAAGGGGTTTTCTGTGTAGCAAATAAAAATGTAATTGAAACGGCGGAAGACGTTTGGAATATATACTAGATAGCGACACTGAAGAGGTGGGAGTAATGAATTCAGAAGACTGACAGTTCATTTAAAAGTTATCTGTTTAAATTTGTGCTCCTTTTAATGTAATTCTTTCACCTGAATATTATTTATATCCTAGAGAATATAAAAATCACAATACATGTAACCTGGGCATTTTATTCGGTACAAAGTAGATTACTTTGACTGCTCGGAGTACAGGATTGTGATAACAGTATAAAAAATACAACTGTCTCTTATTTTCCATTGCAGAGAAACGGATTCTGTACTCGTCATACATTTTTAAGTATAATTACGTGGCTGGCAGTGTGAGTCTCTTCAGCAGCATTATTCTACTGATTGTCATTTTCATTATTGGTACAGTATATTTTTAGGCTTGTGCTAGTTCTTAAAACATACTGAAATGTGTAGGTGTGTTCACCATTGTGAAGTATTCCAAATATTGTTAAACGTTGAGTTTTATAAGGGCACCACGGGGTGACAAGCCCCTCCCCACCCAGCCCCACCCCCCACCCAGCCCCTCCCCACCCTCCCCTCCCCACCCAGCCCCTCCCCACCCTCCCCTCTCCACCCAGCCCCACCCCTCCCATTTTTGGATGTACGACGGACGGACGGACACAATAATCCCCTGTGGGCTGGGGTAACCAGGAGGTTCCTACCAGTACCAGTTCAGTTGTCGCACCTCCAGTAAGCACGGTTGGCTATGTACTGTGCGAAAGAAGTTCAACATACATTGTCAACTTGTCATGTAAAGTAGGAAGCATCACTGTTTGGTTTATTCTTAAATAAATACATACTGTATTTGTAACCCTTTGTCAGCGTGGGTTAGTGAAGGGGGTGCCAGTTCAGGTGGCATTATTCAGGTGACTGCATGTTGAGTGGCAAGACTTTTATACTATCTTATTATATCTTTAACGATGAAAGCTATGAAACAGACAGATCATATAGAGTAGGATTAATGTGTACACTGCTGTTTCCGAATGTGAAATCAATGCACTTGTCATGTTAGGTAATTGCTGTTTCATAATGCCCACGAATGTATAAGGGGCCGTCCATAAATGACGTCACGCGATTTTGGACGATTTTTTTAGCCCCCCCCCCCAATCGTCACACGGCGTCACAAAAAGTCAGACCCCCCCCTCAAATATTACGCCACAAAGCTCTGCCCCCCCACCAAAAAAATGTAACATACTTCAAATCGCTTTAAACTATTGTCATTGTAGTGCGTATTTAATGTGCCGCTGCACTCTGATGTTGTAGGAGAAAACATTAAAAATTTCGATATAATTAAGTAGAACGTGTTGTCTATATTTATTTAAAGTTGCGCATTTGGATGTGACGTCACATTTCTCACCCCCCCCCCCTCGTCACACATCGTCACAAATGTCTGACCCCCCCCCCCCCTAGGTGCGTGACGTCATTTATGGACGGCCCCTAACAGCGTGTACGTTTTTTTCACGTAGTTTTACAAAATACAACGCAATGTCACACTTGGTTCCTTTAAAGACCAGCACCATCACAAAAGTCAACACAGTAATAACATTGCCTTGAAAGGAAAATACATAGATTCAGAATATGTATTTATACTGGAGGAATCCGATGACCTATAAAAGCTATTTTTCACAGATGTTCAGTAGGAGCAGGTCAGACCGTTACAATAACAAACAATACAAAAACACGATAGGAATGCAAAGTATCGGAAAAGTCAAGAAATCGTCTAAAATATATACAAATACAAGTTAACTATTTTGTAACTTGCCAGGTAAAGCTCACCCAGCTATTAGCTGCTTCTTCAGGAGGAACCTGGCCACAAATGATAGCTCAACGAAGTGGCTTATTTGGAAATTTATATCAGCAAAATAATCTTAATAGGTGACGTGTTGGGAAAAGGCCCTTTATATCACTTTAAAGGCCAAGAAATAAGAGTGGAAAATACACTCTACACCATGGGGTCTGACGATTACATTGTGAAATGTTTTTTCGTTCATGACCCAATTTCCAATCTTAAAAGCCACTCATAGAGCGATTAACGACGTGGCTCCTCCATCAGGCTTGGTCACACCAGAGAGGTGCCCTCTGCTGGACATGATTCGTTTGTGGCCAAAGCCTGGTACCGTAGAGTTCGGTTTAAAACTGGCATCTTATTTTGATGTGCTCTTGAATGCTTGTGTGCATACCATACCTGTCAACCCTTACGGGTTTACTCGTATTGTACAGAGAAATTGAGTTTTCAGGTCTATACGGCGTACAACCGTTTTAATACGGGCAATTTGTTTATTTGTTTGCGTTTCTCCCTGATGAGACTTTGTAGAATGAACGTTGAGATATAAGGGCACGGGGTGACCAATAATGTCAGAATTGGTGTGTAAAATAAGGTAGGGCACTGATAAGGGGTTGACAGGTATGAGTATGCATTGGCGAATTCTGTTTAAACCCGGCATGTATTATTTTAATGTGTGTATATGTACACACAGTACTAGATATAGAAGTCAGCGCATGAAAATGCCTGTTTAGCACAGCACGGTAAAGCAATAAAAAATAATTCGCCGTGCGGTGACGTCACCCGCCAGCCGTTGGTGATCACGAGACCGGCGTCACGTGACGCATCGAGGGGAGGAAGGAGGGGGGGTATTTTAAACAACATCACGTGGCTCGTCACGAGTGGTGGCGGGTGCCGGGGGGGTAAACATCCACGTGACCTGCCGGTGTCACGTGACCTCCACCACAGCCGGGAGGGGGGGGGACTCCTCTACTTACGAACGAGTTAGGTTCCAGATGAGCTGACAACGCACCTCTGAAGCTTTCGCCACCGGCATTCACTTGCAATGGCCGGTGGCAAAGATCGCCACTCATGGGCCTACTAAGTCGTTCTGTGCACTACGAACCCCCCCCCCCTCCACAGCCAGCCTCGAAAACCGCACTTGCCCCAACTAAAACCGCACTTTCCCCAACTAAGACGGCACTTGCCCCAACTAAAACCGCACTTGCCCCAGCTAAGACAGCACTTGCCCCAACTAAGACAGCACTTGCCCCAACTAAAACCGCACTTTCCCCAACTAAGACGGCACTTGCCCCAACTAAAACCGCACTTGCCCCAGCTAAGACAGCACTTGCCCCAACTAAGACAGCACTTGCCCCAACTAAAACCGCACTTTCCCCAACTAAGACGGCACTTGCCCCAACTAAAACCGCACTTGCCCCAGCTAAGACAGCACTTGCCCCAACTAAGACAGCACTTGCCCCAACTAAAACCGCACTTGCCCCAACTAAAACCGCACTTGCCACAACTAAAACCGCACTTGCCCCAACTAAAACAGCACTTGCCCTAACTAAAACAGCACTTGCCCCAACTAAAACAGCACTTGTCCCAACTAAAACAGCATTTGCCCCAACTAAAACCGCACTTGCCCCAACTAAAACAGCACTTGTCCCAACTAAGACAGCACTTGTCCCAACTAAAACCGCACTTGCCCCAACTAAGACAGCACTTGTCCCAACTAAAACATTTCTTGCTCCAAATAAAACAGCACTTGCCCCAACTAAAACAGCACTTGCCCCAGCTAAGACGGCACTTGCTCCAGCTAAAACAGCACTTGCCCCAAATAAAACAGCACTTGCCCCAGCTAAGACGGCACTTGCTCCAGCTAAAACAGCACTTGCCCCAACTAAAACAGCACTTGCCCCAACTTAAACAGCACTTCCTCCAGCTAACAGCAACTTGTCCCAGCTAAAATATCACTTGTCCCACCTAAAACAGCACCCGCCCAAACTCAAACAGCACTTGTCCCAGCTAAGACAGCACTTGTCCCAACTAAAACCGCACTTGTCCCAACTAAAACGGCACTTGTCCCAACTAAAACCGCACTTGTCCCAACTAAAACCGCACTTGCCCCAACTAAGACGGCACTTGTCCCAACTAAAACAGCACTTGCCCCAGCTAAAACAGCACTTGTCCCAACTAAAACCGCACTTGCCCCAACTAAAACAGCGCTTGTCCCAACTAAAACCGCACTTTCCCCAGCTAAGACAGCACTTGTCCCAACTAAAACAGCACTTGCCCTAACTAAAACAGCACTTGCCCCAACTAAAACAGCACTTGTCCCAACTAAAACAGCACTTGCCCCAACTAAAACAGCACTTGTCCCAACTAAAACATTACTTGCTCCAAATAAAACAGCACTTGCCCCAACTAAAACAGCACTTGCCCCAGCTAAGACGGCACTTGCTCCAGCTAAAACAGCACTTGCCCCAAATAAAACAGCACTTGCCCCAGCTAAGACGGCACTTGCTCCAGCTAAAACAGCACTTGTCCCAACTAAAACAGCACTTGCCCCAACTTAAACAGCACTTCCTCCAGCTAACAGCAACTTGTCCCAGCTAAAATATCACTTGTCCCACCTAAAACAGCACCCGCCCAAACTCAAACAGCACTTGTCCCAGCTAAAACAGCACTTGCCCCAACAGTCTGTGAAGGCTATAACACAGTGGGGTGGGTGGGTGGAAATCTTTGTCTTTAGTTTACAAGTGCACGTGACGCGCCACGTGACACCCTCGCTAGCTTGAGGTATAAAAGGGGGGGAGGGCGCGGCGAACCCTCCGCTTGCTCTCAACAGGAAGCCATGGCCGCCTGCACCGCCGCTGCCGCTGTGCGGACCACGCCGCTGCCCCTGCTGCTGCTGCCCCTGCTCCTCCTGCTGCTCGTCCATGCGGCCGCCGGCGAGACGATGGTCGCCGAAGATTGGCTGGAGAAGCCCCCGCGGGGGGATTCGCCCTTCGGCTCCGTGTGGCCGCGGCCGCAGGTTCTGCGCTCGTCGGCGATTGCGTTGCAGCTGAGCCACGAGCGCTTCCGCCTGGAGCACGACCCGGCCTCGAGCGCGCAGGTCCTGTCCGCTACGGGGCGAGGGGTGGGGGAGATTGATGATGATGATGATAACAAACATACACTACGTGTTCTTAGTTCTTTCGGTAAAGTCACCACGTAGAAGGGAAACAATGCAAATATGAAACAATAAAATTCTCACGACGTTTCGACTGCAACGCAAGAAGCAATCGTCATCAGGGTGTGAAAATCACAGCAAGAACATTTGAAAAAAGTGGCGGGGTTTTTTTTTTCTTAAAATTTTCTTGCTGTGTCTTCTTTGGTTCTTTCGGTAAAGTCGCGTAGAATGAGAATAAAATAACACGATAAAATTCTCACGACGTTTCGGCCACAACGCAAAGCCGCTTGCGTTGTGGCCGAAACGTCGTGAGAATTTTATTATTTTATTTTCTCATTCTACGTGACTTTACCGAAAGAACCAAAGAAGATGAATCCTTGCAGTCACGAAAGCTTTAAATCGAAATTTCTTGCTGTGGTTTTCACACCTGATGATGATTGCTTGCTTGTGTTGCAGTCGAAACGTCGTGAGAATTTTATTGTTTTATATTTTTTTTTATTATTGCTTCCCTTCTACGTAGTGGTGACTTTACCGAAAGCACCAAGAATATGAATCCCTGCAGTCACGAAAGCTTT